ACTAGTAAGTGTCTAGTGTTCTACGTTTTGAAACTAAAATAGATTCACATCATTATACAGCTACTATTGGATTTTATCAAAGGACAGGTATCTTACTTCTAAGGAACATTAAACTAGGTAGAATATTTGTCCTGTACTACTGAGATTCAAAAATACTTCAGCTGATGTCATTCAGCAGTAAAAATCTAATTAAATTCGATAAAATCTGCACAAACCCCACATGAAAAAAGTTTTTATGGTCAATAATTAATTTTTTTCTCTTAAACTTATCACGTTCAATATCGCTGGGTAAAACTGTTTTGCATAGTATATATTGTGAGTTGATTTTAGTTCAATAACCTTTGGAAACCAGGTAACACTAGTTAGTTGTTTTGTTCTACCATGCAACTGAGCAGTGCACATCCGCTACATTACGATGAATACAAACCGAGACCTCTAGATCGTGAGAAGAGCTCCTAACCTTTGGATCACTGAGTTTACATACGATTGTTTACATTTCTAACTTCAATCAATTTTCAATACTATTCAACCACCTTCCAAAGCGTTGAGTCCTATTGGTTTACACTGCTCAATAGAATCCTAGAAATGACTCTTTGAAATTATTCACTGGTGAGCACGTGGAGGTTTGTACCAATCCGTTGATGTAAGCTATAAAATTCAACGATCTCCTAAAACCCTTATGTTAATAATATTGTTTTTCATCCTTATTTCCGTTACCTGGGTTCTTATCGATTTGAATTTTTTTATGCAGTAGGTTTAGTGAACCAACAAAAAAAACTGTTTGACTTTTTCACTTTAAGATCCTTATCTATTTTCACATCTGTTATGAGATTCTTTGTTAATGTGTGCTGAGCATTCACTTAGGAGTATTTATTTTACAATAAAGTATATCCATTGCATATACAGTGGGAAAAAATCTCAGCGAAAAGTAATGATTGAAATATATAATAGTAGTTATTTTATCTATACGACTGTTCATATCACAATTAATCTGTTTGCCTAATCGCTTGTGTCTGTTCAATAATATAAGATTGGTTACACAACTTAATGACTAACAATGTTGATAGAAATATTATATTGGCTATTTGATTGTAAATTAATAAATATCTAGGCAATATTATAGAACCCATAGAATGTTGGTTATTTTGTTTTAATAAAGTTTATCTTAAGATACTAGAAGATTTGTTTATTTTAAATAAGTTTAGTACAGTTATATAAGTAACTAATTGAAGATGAGTAGGTAATTAGTAAGTAATATTCTTCTTGAGAATGGTTCACATAATTTCTGTGAGCACATTAAAATGAATGTATTTCATTTCATTGGAACATATATATGTATATGAGACTTGATCTTACATATGAGATTGATTTTTCACAAAATACACATGTCAATACTCTTACATTACACTGATTACTTTTACAATTTACCACTGCTTTTGACGATATTCTAGTTTGAGGTGTACATGATAAGATTCAGCTATTTTGCTCAGTAACTAATTTTACTAATCCAGAATATTGTATTCCCTAATTTTGGATTCTCTAGTTAATCCTGTAAGAATAGGATAAAGAAGAATGAATTATCAAAACAAACAGAAAAGTTCATTAACTTTTAGGTATTGCATTCATCTGTTCAAGTTACAAAAAAAGTTAACTAAACATCTGTTATGTGTACTTAACTTATAACTGATAAGTGGACATTTGTCAACATAAAGATACTTTGGATTACGTCATAATTACTTATTATAAATACAATAACTTGGTACTGATTATATTATACTGAACAAATACTTGATAGGGATAATCAATTTGTTTAATGCAAAATTACACTATCACTTGGTAAAATGTGAAAATCATACATTAAATACATCATTTTCACAACATCTTTGTAGTGTTGCTGATAAAATTCGTTGTTCCTTCATTCCTGTTGTTATCTTGATTGATTTCTATCTTCTTCTTTCTTCATTTTATTTCAATCTCAATCCTCTGCTACCAATCATTCCACTTCTGATTGATGTTGTATATTACTTATATCTGTTAATATAAATAGCATACACCACAAAATGAACGTATAAATGTTCATGGATTTGATAAACTTGTCTTCAATATATTTATTATCCTTTCTCTAACACAGTTTACCTTCATTGTCGTTATTATCATGAGTTACTTTTGTATGGCTAGTGAATTTATATATATATATATATATATATATATATATATATATATATATATATATATATATATGTTTGTGTATGGTATCGTTTGAAATGTTTTGCGGGTGTAAGTTCACTCTTCAGTAGATTTTATTTTCCTTACATTTTCCGAAAAAGTCAGTCATCATTATATTAGGTCGTTTGTGAAGTTACATTATTCGTTACATCGTATTTATATTTTTGAATATTTATTTATTTACATGAGAAATGGCCTGTTTAATTTTGCGGAAAGGAATAAACTGTATTGTATGCCAATATTTAATCACTCCTTTTTCTCATTAGAACAAATAAGGGTTAGTGACTATCATCACAGAATTTTTCAGTGAGATGGTGTTCTATGTTATAAATTAACATTTGTAAAACAATCATCGTTAAAATAGAAAGTTTTACATATCCGTTCAGTGATTTTCCTCATCTTAATTTCCAGGAGTTGAACTTTTACCGGGGGATTCACTTGTTGATTTAAAATATTCCGATGACATAGTTCTAGTTGGTAAAGATGCTGACAAAATGCACAGTCTTTTGATCACTCTAGACAACAATGCATGTATGTTTGGGATGCGATTCTCCCCTTCAAAATGCAAAATGTTGCTTCAGGATTGAGTTGCATCGGTACCTGAACTTATGATAGGGAATGAAGTAGTTGAGCTTGTCGAGTGCTCCACTTATTTTGAGAGTCGCATCAGCCTTTATGGTCTGGTTTGTGGTGAAATCTCAGCACGGCTACAGTAGACTCGACTAGGTTCTGCCAACTTGCATCATTTATGGCGTAGGCGAGATATCCGTCTACCAACCAAAGGACGTGTTTACTGTGTAAACTGAATTAATTAAATCTAGTTATTGGTATAATAATATGTTGTTCTATTAAGTTATTTGAGTATGTATGTCTTTATTATTAAACACAATGTTTCTGTGTGTCATAGCTTTTTAATTATTATTAGTAAGAATGTAGTGAAATTTCTTTGTATATCAGTCGTCCTGATAATTATTATTAAATAACTTTTAATGGTATGTCAGAAAGCAATAAAAAATGTTGACCACAGTTTATTAATATACACCTCAGCTCCGAAATCCAAATGCACTGTAAGCGAATACGAACAGAAATACAAATGCGAATTAATAAATGTATTTAAGAAGCTCATTTATATTCTAACAAGCGTATGATTTATCGAGTGATTTAAGCAACTAAGATTTCAGTTAGAGAAATGTATGTATAGGCTGTAACACTTGATCATAGGAACGTGATAATAATGGTATAAAGACATAGACAAAGTATTACTGGCCAAATGATACCAACTGTTAAATAAGTTAACTGACGAACTTCATCAAATTAAACTAATACCGACTAAGGTGCAAGTAACGTATTATATGAGTTCATTACAGTAGGAAAATTTATTAAACGATTGAATTGTGGAATCTGAATTTTTGACCCTTTGATTTCATTGCACATAACCTATTAAAAATATAATCCATCCATACTTCCAAGCCTGACAATGAGTTACTGGATATTTGTAATATTATGTTGATGACAACACTTAATTCAAACTGATTAAATTATTAACGAGAAGAGAACTAATTGCTTACTTTAATCCACATTTACATCACTAACTCACTTTAATTAGATAATCACTGAAAACCAGAAAGCGCTAGATACTTATTTCTTTCTGGACTGCGACTCTTCAGCAATGCACCTCTGGTAACCCTTTAAGGATTAAACCCAGATCCTTCAGGCTTCGTATGAAATTCTTTATTTATACTTACACCAGTATATTTCCAGGTTTATAATAGTTCACCTATAGCAGTTAGTTTGTGATGTCAAATTGTCAATTCAACGATCGCTACAATAATCGCTTACTACTTTTGTAACATGATCTAAATATTAAAAAAATTAACTTAATTGTATAGTCTTTAATACAATGTGACCTTTCATATAATCATTCTCTATTGTTTATATTCTTCTCTGCGGACTAAAGCTACAGTCACTAGAATGTTTTATTAATTATCGAAACTCATGAAATAGTATCATAATTCTATGTACTATCCAAAAATGTTTACTTCGTGTTTTGTGTTTCACTCCATCCAGTAGTTTTCCAACAAATAATTGCTCATCTGTTTAAATATTTTTGTCTAGACAAAATAAGGTAGCTTAATTATAAGTCAAGTAGCTTTGTCACTTATGGTAATCCAATTCCCAAAATAGATAACTGTAAAATTCTATCCTTGATTAATGGTGTAATGTAGTTGAAATACATCTTAAATATGATAATGTATTTCGCTATATTAAGTTTGTAGTTTAAGTGAAACCACTTTATAGCTTACATCAATGAATAGCGTTAGTTAGATAACCACTGAATACCAGGTAGCGCTGGACAGATATTTCGTCGCAGTGTGTAACTCTTCAAAAGTACGCATCGCTTACCTAAATTATGACTACATCCAAACCCTTCAGTTCTTACTGTTAGGACTTAAGCATTAGACTATTGATCCAGCATTGCTGATTTACATTTGTAACTTCAGTCAACTCACGATATTGTGACACCATCTCTCAATATAATCAGTGGATTATCGTCTTAAACCAAACACAGCTGAACTATACTGATCACCGCTCCTCACTAGAACTCGGACAATTGTATCTCAAAATAATTCTCCGCTGGGATTATAACTATTACTACGATGGGTGTTTGTTCATATTGTTTAATTTTATTTTACAACATTATCACAAATTTATTTGTAACTACTTACTCAAATAATTACACTTCTCTTAAATATTTTCATTTTCTTTTAATACAGTGTGGAAATCCGTGGAGCTGCAACTATTCTAGACGTGAGCTTTTCAGCAAAATCATTATCTGGTGAAGAAGATACTTGGTCACAATGTGTTAATGAGCTATTAGTTGAATTACGCCAATGTCGTCGTCGTGCAGATAATCTAGTCAATAGAATTATCCGTACAGAAAAGCAACGTTGTGTTCTTGAAACATTTGCTGACAGTTTGTCACGTCGTGAAGATGAAATTCTATTAGGCGGTAATCATCATGGTCATGTGACATTGAATAATTTACCAAATCATACAGGCGTTGCAGATCAAGTAAATAATATCCCGTCACAAGGAGCAACGTTATCAGGAGGAACAACATCAGCAAATGCTCAAATGGCCGCAACGACTGCGGAACATAAATGTATAAATGATGTAAGTTACTTTCCCTTAACTTTCCATTTTACAAGTTGAGTAAAGAAATATTTTTAAAAAATTAGATCCTCATTTTGGAACGACAATAGTATACAAGATTTCAAGTTAAGCGTAAAACATATATGATCTTAAGATTAGATATCGAATGAATACCAAATAAATGGCGACGAATCAAATATGAATACATATCTTGATGTTTCCTCAAGATATATTATTCAGTCGGTCAATTATGACTAACATAAAACCTGACATACATACGCAATATTCCAAGTCACCACAACAGATCAGTTCTGAAGGATGAAATTATTAAGACAAATACGAGATCAGTAAAACTGGTAACATTATCAATGGTAGTAAAAATCATTAGGTACTGACAGTATAATTCAACAGAGAGCGAATTCGTGGAATAAATAATATAGAATATTTTGCAAATCAAGATCCAAGTGAAGATAATGAGTGAATGTATCTGAACATGAATAAACAAACGGCAAAATCGTTTTCTGTACACAATGATTAGATTTATGAACATCTTCCTATGGCTGTTGTCGTAAGTAACAGACGAATTCTGTGAGCATTGGGAAAGTTCAAAGGAACTATTCATAAACCATTGACTGCTAATATTGTGTCGATTGAGGTGATCAGCAACGACTGAATTGGTCACAGCAAAACTTCTGATTGTTCTGTTCTATCCTTTGGTCATCCGAGAGAGATAATTTTCAGAAATGAAATAGTATGTTTGCATGTTCGAGCCTCTAATTGAACTGGTAAATTTATACTTCTAAACTTGCTAAAAGGGTTGTTTATTGACTACCATTCATAGGCGAAGTATATCTCAATATTCCAAAGAAATAATTTCTTCTTCAGTTCTTGATTGGTGAAAAACCTTATTTTTGAACTTATTCATACTATGTTAAGACATCTTGATTTATATATATGATTGACAGTCTTAGGACATTTTTTATACACATGAAATGACGTGTATATGAAGGAATTTTTTAGATAACCTCTAGTACATATTGCATAATGGTTTGGATCTAAAATTGAGTAAAATTAAAATAACACACCTTTGCATTTCATCACAATCATACAAAAATATTGTACTGATCTGTAGACACCGAAGTCCTTGATCAAACTACGTATGTGGACTGCTACTAAAATGTCTAAGACGAAATTATTACCTAATCGCTAGCTGGTGTGGACTCGGATGCCATAATGAGGATCAGTTACCTCAAGATTGTAGTGAACTTGTTGACCAGTTCCATCTTTCACAAGATCTTGTTCCATGTTTTGCTGTCATCTAGCTCCAATTAACCAACATAAACACTCTGAATGACTGGTTGTCACCTGAAGGCTTGTAATGTGACGAAGTCAATGATCAGACAATCGTTTAAATTGTTTTGTGAGTCAGTGATTAGAAATTCATTTATGCTGTCTTGTCTTGAATCGTCCTTCTCGATGTAGTTTACCAAAAGCATCATTTAGGGAAAGATAATTCAATAAGTGAATAGTAGAATGTAAATGTCAATTGGGAATGAATGTTTCCTGTATTAACGAGTGTGTTGTTTCTTAAGTTGGAATGATCAGCTGTTAAACTATAATGAATAAATGTAGAGATTCATATTGAGAAATGAAGAAAAGTGAATGCATTTTATTTGTGTGTTGTTTTTCGTGCGAATACTTCAGGTATTAATTTAGTAGAGATAATGTAATAACTTCAATATTTCTATAACTAGTTGAAGGTGTTAGCTAGTGTTGTACATTTCAGTTTAGTTATAAATATACATTCATATTTGCCATTTGAACAAATTTTGAATTATGTATTCTGGGTCTGTTTATTTAAATAATTTTTTGCAATATTCAATGTTCAGCTTTTTTATTGACAAGCTTTAACTATTATAATGAATGCCTTTGTACTTTAAATAAAAAGGTTTACATATTTATAGTACTGAATTGAAAGATAAATAAATCATTCACTTAAATAAAACTTTAGGATTCATGTGATTTTTAGTTTATCAAAAGTATCAGTAGTTTATTTTATTTTAATTCGTTACGTGATGTCATTTTCGTTCCACATTCACAATGAAGCATAGTCCTATTACATATTGTGCTAACTAGGACAATTATCTTCACTTTACCACTTTTCTCTAGTGGATTATTGCATAACTGAGCGAGAATATAATTTATGGACGAACTAATCAGATATAAGACAATAGGTTAAATAGCGTCTTGGCATTTTAGCTTATGTCAGTTGGTGATGAAAACCCTAAATTTAATTCTTAACCCTAATCATCAATTGAAAATCATAATTCGAATGCTTCACACTGTTTTATAAACCTCAGTTAGTCCTAGTTAATAGGTGGACATTATCAAGGTCATTTAAGCGTCGCTCAAAAGTCGTCCATAAATTATAGTCTCATCAATGACTGTTATAACTTTTACCCCTGTCAATAGCCATGTGGCAAAATCGCCAATCAGATTATCGACTTATATGACCTTTTTCTTGTGCTAAACTAATTTTACGTCAACCAGCACTGACTGTCTTACGTCAACTCTGAATCTTTATTGACCCTTTTCCCCCAGCCCTGCCCGTTGAAGTTCAGAAAGTAATCTCAGCCTCCACTGTATGAATCGTATATTCCAGACATACATAGTTTATGTACAAGCAAACCAGTCGTCATCACACTGTAAAATGAAAAATAGCAATTTTACGAGATCAAGCTAAGAGTAGCTGTTAGTGTGGGATACTGTAACTGATAAATTGGGAATAATTTAAGAATAGTAAATCGTATTGCAAATGACAGTTTATGATAAAAGGAATATGAATGTAGACATAACCTAGTTATTTAACCGTTATTCAATAGGAATTTATGTAATAATAGTCTATGAATAATTCTTAAGAGTTGCCATTCATTTATTTTTCGTTCGGATATAACAATAACTTCTAATATCTGATTTTAAATTCTTGACAACATACCACTTCAAACTTTTTTAAGTATTTAACATCCTTCTATCTTACTATAGAACACTGTTTTAGCAAATAAAATTAACTATAAATATAGTTGTACAGCTTGAGTAAATGAGATCGTTGAAGAAAAAGTTTTCTTCGCTGAATTACCTTCTTTCTTCTATAACACAATGGGTCTTGTTCATTACTTCAAATCCATGGGTTGAATATCTGATTTGATATGAATTGTCAATTTATGATGAAAATTAACGTCAAGTAATAAAAATAGTTATGTACTGATAACGATGAACATGAAAAAAGAACTCAACTAAAACGAAACATGAAATAAATAAGTTTTAATAACCTTTAGAGTACAACTGTTTAATATTTAGAATAAGAGAGAATAGAGTGAAAAAGGTCCTATCAATCATGTATTGATATAATTTAACTTCTTCAACTACTGATTTCTATCACCTATAAAGTGTAGAATAAAAATAGAAGCGGTATAATGATAAAAGTATTTTACTTTCAATCAATTTGATGTACTCTGGAGATGTACTTCAGCTAATTCAATTAGGACTGTCATACAGTATTGTTATCTTGTCATAAATTAATAAATATAGTTCACAGTTGAGTACATAAAATGATAATACTTGTTAAATGAGCTCCACTAATTAATTAATTCTATTTCAAATAAAATAACGGATAATATTTTCATTACACAGATCAGTAAACAAAAGATTGATGAAGCTGCACTATGTTTTGGCCGAAACTACTCAGTTGTGTATTACAAACAAATTTATTGACCACATGTTTTTATAGTTTCTATTCAAATTTTTTTATGAATTAATTCATTACAACTGAAGGGAACGGTTAAATCAAGTTATTTAAGAGAGAGAGAGATCGACTTTTTAAAATAAGTATTGACTGATCATCATTGTACATATGATCATAATTTCAACTTTATACAAAGCTTTATTAAATACTTTATGAAATAGAATTTGTATTAACACTGTTGTGTAATAACAGATTTCTTATCTGGATAGAATTTTGAAATAAATTCACGATTGACAATAAATACAAGATCTAAGCTTCTTTGGTAATGTCGATAATATTCAGATAATGATAATTAGATGCCAAGTGATTATTTATTTAGAAATGATTCAAATAATTTAACAATCATAATGATATTAATTGTAGTTCTGAATAGTTAATTTTAACTACTGACTATCAGTAAAATCAGTTGTTTTTAGTAGAAATTCTTTTTTAATATTAGGGATCATATAATGGTTTGCTCTTAGTTAGACGACCATTGAAAATCAGAATGTACTGCACAACTATTCCATTCTAGTGTGTGACTTTAGTGGTGCTCACATACACCCTATATGGAATTAAACGCAAGACCTTTAAATCTAGCCATGAGTCCTTAACCTTTAAACCACAGAGGGGCCATTCTTGGCTTTCATTTCTGATTTCAATTAAATTTCAGTATTTTCCTGTCACTTTCTGCTTCTATCGGTAAGTGCCTTACATCCGATTGTTTACGCGTTTGTTGTTTAAATGTTAATGACCTGAAGACTATGGTTTCGAGTCATTGCTGAGTACTAATAAGAAATTGAACATTAGAACGAAACAACTATCCATCGCTTGTTGGTTTTCAATGGTTATCCAACTGAAGTCAGTTCATGATGTAAACTGTAAAGTTCAACAATCTTTACAGACGCTTTATACGCTTATTTAATATATATTTTCATAGCACTCACTTGGCAGTAATAAAGGTGAATCTTATTAATGTAATAGACAAACTGCAATGAAACTTTAAAGCAAAATATTATCATATTGTTATGTAATGACATTTTGTACTGGTTAAATGTATGTCTATTTCTCGATAAATTTATCATCCTCACTATCTCTTCACAAGATCATGTTCACCGGTGCGTAGTATATTCCTGTCTTTTTTATTAGACTAACTCTGGAAAAAGTGAGATATTTAGTTATGTACGTTTTGTAATACAAATGAAATGGGAATAACATGGACACAGACACACATACCTTTTATCATGTTTTCCTGTAGAACAGAAGTTGATTTACCATTGGCCTATAAAGTATTTGCTAAGGAGATATTCAACAACAAAAAATATTTTTTTCGCATAATTCCTATTCACCTCTATGTATGGTTACTTTGTGTTTGTATCACTCGTCAAATCGAATTCATCTGTGTGTAGTTGATAGTTATCAGTGCTTTCATAATTCATCTGCATCTGAATTCACCAGTGACAATAGACAATAGTTAAAACAAATAAAAGTTTTCTAAAAAAAGTGACGAGCTGAAAAGGATTACATGGTCATTGCTTGGGGTGGAGACTGAACAAGAAGAATATTAAAAGTAACTTAGACGCAGTAGATCGTTTTATTTAGAAAAATAGTTATTTTCTCATCTGTGTTTAATACTGAGCTTTTAATGTTTGTATATAAACATGTTATAAGTGAAGTAAAACGTTCAAACTGATTAAAATTTTTCTTCTTAGATGTAGATTGTTAACACGAACGGATTGCTACTACGATTCATGAAATACAAATCATTGTCACTTTAAAAATGACGATATTTATCAATTTTTCTAAAGATTATCTAAATAAAAAAATGTTTATTCAAAAATTTATCCTTAACTTTCTTACTCGGCAATAAATTCACTAAGGAGTTCCACATTAGAATGAGAATCTCATATGATGTTACTCGATAATAGATATCATCTAAAAATCCCCACAAAACCCGCCTACATCAAAAAATGACAGATTTCTTGAATTCTGTTTTGTGTTTTCTTTTTGCTTTGTCTTAAGAATTATCACCTTAAATAATGATTGTATTTTTCTGTCATTCAGTAATAAAAAAACAAGCGATTCGATGAATCAATTGATGGTTACTCTTTATTCGAAATGAAAAACAAACCAACTAGACAAAATCAGAAATGCCATAAAAATGTAAATTCACTCTAATCAATATTTGTGTTGTTTTATTTCAGTTGAAATCTGAATAAAATAATCATAGTTCTGAAAAATATATGAATGGAGTTTTACAACTTGATAAATAACAATAATCGGTCGTGATTCGGATCGATTTATACAAATTGAAAATGATTTTACTTATGAAATAGGCATTAACAAACAGAACCATTAAATAAATCAACTTAACATTGAATTGTTTAAATCTTAAATTGAGGTATACATAAATCTTTTTGAATTATATCATGTACTATATATGAAGAGAATGAATTAGTATATTTCGACCTGGATGGTACCTACAGTGATTACATAACTCTTTTTATCAAAATTGTTAACAATAGTTAATAACGATTAAGTCGATTGTATTACTTGTTGTAAATAATAAATTTAGTTAAACGAGCATAGATATTTATCGTATGTGTAATTTTCTAAATCTGATTAATTTTACTTTGTCTTCAACGTGCCTTTTTTTCAAACTAGATCACCAATCCTTATGATCCAAGAAATGTGGAAACGTTGCATAAATTTCTTGAAATTTACAAAGATGAAGCTGAACGATTTGATACAGTTTTAATGGATACTACTGAAGAATTGGAACAAGTTCGTACACGAATTGAGACATTGGAAAAAGAAGTTCATGATATAGAATTAAAGCAAGATGAACATTTAGCCAGGTAATTGTAAAGGTTTCAACATTTCAATTATCTGTATACACTTTTTATGAGGTATATTCTGTTGATGTTGTCCTAAAAAATCATATGAACTTCACGGCTGAACCATCAAGCTCAGTAAATACAGTGTCCTCAAAGATATGCACTAGATCATTAACCTTCGAGTATACGATTTGCAAAATAAAGTAACGTACTCATTTATTCACAAGTAAATTATATTTGCTTATAGAGAACAATTAAAGCTAAATGTCTTATTCAATCGCATTTGTTACTTAGATGTATCCAGATCTCCATCCAGGATTTTTGCTCAAACTGAAGACTAACACTGAACCATTATTAATTAGAACAATAGGTTTCGACAACTATCTGTTCTTAAAATATTACTCATTCACTTACACCAGTTACCCCTCGTGAAGGAGCATAGGCTGCCCACTGGCACTCTCCATCGAACTATGTCCTGGGTTATCCTTTCCAGTTGCTATTCATTCTTTTGATTCCTGCTTCCAATTCCCGGCTCAGTGTGTTGTGTGGTATTGCTCTTTTCATTTTCCCTTCAGGATTCCAAGTTAGCGCTTGCCTCGTGACGCAGTTTGGTGATGTCTACAATATATGTCCTATCCACCTCCAACGTCTTTTCGTAGTTCCCTCCTCAGCTGGAAACTGACTTGTTCTCTGCCACAGTGGTATCCGACCAATGGATATTGCGTATATTGAGTAGACAATTGTTTATGAATACTTGTACATTTTTGGTGATGGTTGTGATAGTTCTCCCAGTTTCACCTTGACGTTTGTGTTGAAGATTCTGACTTTGATGATGGTTGACAGTTGTTTTGAGTTCTGTATTCTTCAATTGTAAGAATACAGCCCTTGCTTTACCAATTCTCGCATTTACGTCTGCATCAGACTCTCCTTGTTTATCGATGATGCTGTCCGTGTAAGTGAAAGTTTCCACCTCTTTCCGAGTTTCTCCATCAAATGTACAGTGTTAGTGTTCTCTGTGTTGTATTTGAGGATCTTGATTTTTCCCTTGCATATGTTGAGACCTACTAATTCAGAGACTTCTGCTACACTGGTTTTCTTGACATACATTTGTTGATGTGTACAGATAGGGATGAGCTAGGTCATCTGCCAAGTTCAAATCGTCTAACCCCATTCAAACCCGTCTATTGTATTCCATTACTAGTTGATGAATGAGTTCAAAATGTCTTATCGCCTATTGAAATGACTGTGTTGATTAGTTTGTGTAAGCAAACTATTTCTATATCATTCACTTGATATTGTTTTATTTGAATCTTCCCATTGATGTTTAGGACTGAAATTGTTCAGTCTCTTATTGGCATATGTGAATACTGTGCGTATGCCTCGATATTGCCTTAATTTACAAGCATTATAAGCAAAGATGGATAGTGGCTAGCAGTGGAATCCAGTTTGACGCGCGTTTCGTCCTATTCGGGGCTCGTCAGCTGGATGTACCTGCATCTCAGAGTTGATGTTCACTCCGAGACTCGAACCCAGTACCGTCCACTTCAAATGCCATCGCGTTATATCATGTTTAACGAAAAAAACATCGAATCACTTTCAGATGTTTAATGATTTACCACAATATGTTAGTGCACCATGAAAATTATCTCCAACTTATACATCTACCTACATCGATTTCTGGTGAAACACACACTATAGATGATGGACAATACTTCTGTTGATCACAAACGAATTCAGAGAAAGTAGATATTTGTGACACTGCAAATAACCTAATATGGTAAAACTGTTCAATGGCTGGAATTGACGATCGTAAAACATAACAGACATCGGTCACAGTTCAGTGAATGATTAAGTAAACAGATGTTTTGTACCGTGAGGGAAAATTGGTAAATTAAGAAGCTTAATATAAGTGATTTCATTGATGAGAAGATTGGGGAGTAGACAATTGTGATATTGCTTACCAGTTGATAATGAATGGATTGTAAATATTTCAGTGTCATAGGAGGTCGATGTCGGTCAATATAGCTCCATGAGGTCTGTGGCATTGGATGCCATAATAAAAATTAGTTACCTCAAGATTACAATGAACTTGTTGACCAGTTCCATCTTCCACTAGTCTCAATTAACCAGCATAAACACTCTGAATGACTGGTTGTCACCTGAAGGCTTGTAATGTGACGAAGTCAATGATCAGACAATCGTTTAAATTGTTTTGTGAGTCAGTGATTAGAAATTCATTTATGCTGTCTTGTCTTGAATCGTCCTTCTCGATGTAGTTTACCAAAAGCATCATTTAGGGAAAGATAATTCAATAAGTGAATAGTAGAATGTAAATGTCAATTGGGAATGAATGTTTCCTGTATTAACGAGTGTGTTGTTTCTTAAGTTGGAATGATCAGCTGTTAAACTATAATGAATAAATGTAGAGATTCATATTGAGAAATGAAGAAAAGTGAATGCATTTTATTTGTGTGTTGTTTTTCGTGCGAATACTTCATGTATTAATTTAGTAGAGATAATGTAATAACTTCAATATTTCTATAACTAGTTGAAGGTGTTATTTACTGATGTTTCAAATAATTTTGACTTTGTTTAATCATTCGTTTAGATAATAATTATAAGTTTCGTAAGTTTATACTCAGCTATATTGCACAGATGCATATATTTGATTACTCAATACTATATCTTCTTTGAACTGGTCAAGTAACTGTTCTAATTTCTTATTGATGAGACATCCCTAAGAAAGAACTGTTTGTTTGCCCCTAATGATGTGTCACGTAACATCTTTTGATTGCGATATTATATTTACAACACTCGTATTGTCTGTAAAATGCACATAACCCCCGATTATTATTATTAATATGAGGGTTTATCGGAAATTGTTTGTCACTCGCCGTCAAACCTGAAGATTTTACGTTAGATCTATGGTGTGGTCTTGGATGCATACAATTAATGAATCCCATACTAAGAAGAATTAACTGTTCCCAGTTTTCAATGGTTGTCTAACTTATGTCACTGATTACTATTTACGCTACCTTTCCAGTTATTTAGTAGATCTTATATCTTTAACTACTTCTGACTGATTCCACTTTATAAGCATGAAGTTTATTTTGATATTTGCTTTCATTAGTTCAACTAATGGGAAAATTATTTTTGACATTTTTAATTACCTATCATATCAGATACTATAAAACTTATTAATCAATTCTTTTTATTAGTAAGTTAGATGACCGTGAAAAATTTCCAAGTGATATTGATTACAATTACAATGAACAGCTCATTTCATCTTGCATAATAATGGGTGGATTCATTAATTATTGGTTCTGAGATATTATCAAATAGCACACGCACACACAAACAGAAATCTAGTTAAAATAGTCCACAATTTGTTGTATTGTAAATGCTAGACAAACTGTTTCATTTTATAAATTCGTAAAATAGTGAATAGTTACTTTGTATCAACAACATTATGTACTGGGTTTCTGTTTAATGAAAATTTAAGTTTGGTTTAAATTAGTACTGACTGAATAATTCAGTGTTTAAATGGATAATACCGAAATGCTTTAACAGTTACACTTGTCACAATATAACGACTTGAAGAAAATGAGTGTAAGAAATAGAGAGATAGATAGTTAGAGTGAGTGTTTGAATGGTTGAGAGAGAGAGAGAGAGCAATAGATAAAAGTTATCAATTGTAGGAATTCTATCTTTTATTAAAAAATCAATAAAAAGTAATGCTTTACGCAGTGTGTATCTAATTATTCTCCTTGTTCTTTATTAACTACTTTACTTCTATAATTATTATTATTAATGGCTGTCATAGGGTCTATGTCAATCATGAGACCATGTTATCATTAAACTCCTGTTTAATAATTCAGTTCTGGGAATTCGCCTGATTAATTAAATAATAAATACGTTTTCCTACTAGGTGAAAATTTCATCTTAGGTTACACCCAGTATTTTAAGCTCTCATCATTTTAATTGAGATCATGAACCGATCAATGTTAGACCACCATTGAAAACCTGGAAGCACTGGATGGACGTTTCGTCCTAGTGTGGGACTCCTCAGCAGTGCACATCCACGATCCCTCACGTAAGGCTTCAAACCAGGACCTTCGATCTTGTGAGAATGTTTAACCTCTAGACCGCTGGACCAGCATCCAACGGTGTTCATTTTATCAATTAAAACTCAACAATCTCTACAACCCCATACTGATGCTTTAAATATTTGTTGCATTGTTGAACAGCATTGGATTAATGTTATTATTATTATTACTATTATTATTATTATTGTTATTATAAGCTTTATTCAACATTATATTTTTGTTACAATATTTAATTCTCAGCATAAAGTATTTCAACAAGTTTCCTTTTCTTATATCTTGATCGATCCTGACGATAAATATTGAGTGATGGCCAGTTAGATGTTAGGAGTTCGATAATCGACATCTGAATAATGTTCATTCGTTTCAATGCATATTGCAAGCCACCATGATGTCACTGGTTGTACCTTTTTGTAATCCGTACAGCGAAAGGTTGTAAACTTTTCATAAACGCGCCTGAATAGGTTGTGAGCTCAATAGACATAATAATGTGTTAAAACAGACAAAAAAACAGATAACTTGACGAAATATCTAGATGGGAGGAACAGGTAGCCCAGATATTCAAGCAGGCCGCCGATGGTGTTTTACCATAATACCTAGTTCTGATTATTGATTTTTTTTCAGAATGCATTCAGAAATCCGCTTAAATAGATTAATGTTTAAATAATTTTAATCACAGTTGTTAGGATTCAGTTTTACAACTTTTGAAATTCCTCTAGCAATAATACACATTCTACCAACAGAATTTAATAATTCAACAGTAATCTACTTATTAAAAAAGACTGCAATATTTTGGAACTTTTCAAAGAATGAGATTTTGATATGGAGTTAATAGTGAGAAGTTTCAACTTAGTCTTGACTAAACATCCATTCAACTACTTATAATTTTCGGTTCAATAGTTCATTCTAAAAAGATGT